GCACAAATTGTCGTCAGAAGCTCCAGCTCTTAATTTTACCTACCCTTGTCTTGGCTATTTTTTAAAATTTTCTCCAGTTTCTTGGAGTAGTTTTGATTGCTGTTGGAAAGGTAGGCAAAATGCAAGACAGTAAATTTTTCTGGCTTCTTTGACGGGCTTGCTAAGTGTTTTTAAAAGAATCGTTTCTGAAAAGATTTCATTTTTGCGAAGAAGTAAAATACACACAATGAAACTTCGGAATATGAATATTCCGGAAGTCGATTATGTTTAAACGCTATTAACAAAGCAAACAAGTGTTTACCCAAACTTTCGATACATAGAACCAGGAACTCTGCTGACCTTTGAGCGACATAAGAGAACACGGCCTTCACCAAGAAAAGATGGTATTTTCAATCGACCTCTTTTAGACTACGATTGAATCTCAAAAACTTGAGAGAGTTATTGCAGTTTAGCAAAAACAAGAAAAATGTGCTTAAATTATGCGGAGATTTCGCGCACGAAAATGCTGGTTTGTCCCGTCAAGAAGTGATTTTCAAATCTTCGACGTTGTCACTGCTTCTAGTTGTGTCATGACGACTAAAATGATATTAATGTTGCAGGGTTTCGCCAAGACCTCGTCGAGATCTGCGACCAGATCCAAAAGTCCCGTCGGCTCTGATCTTTCTGCTCTGCTCGTTTGCGTCTCCGCGCGTTGCGCGCTACCTCGCTACCTCAAACGCGGAGCACAAGGCATTTGACTCTGGTACGTCGCGGCGCTAACTTTTTGACTGGGGTGAAATAATTAGCAAAAAGCTGCAAAAATCTTTTGTTCGTGGCCTTTATTGGGGTTAGCAAGCAACCACTTCCTACAAGCTTTAGGGCAATGTGGCAGGATTTCGAGCATAACAAAAATGAAAACTTCGCCAAAAACAGAAGCTACTGAAATGGGTAAAAATTCGGAGGACGCACTAAATAGGTTTTTCGATGTGCATTTCGACTTAAAAGATAAAACTTCGCGTTCCCATAAAGAATTTTTTCTTGTTTATCTTCTTTGACAATTACCACTTCCGAAATATGTTTGTTCTAAAAACAATCACAATGAAGAAATTAGCTTCTCGTTTCTCCCAGTGTCGCCCGGTCCTGGAGCGAAAACCTGTAATTCCGCCGAACGAAACGCTTCATGATTGCAGGTTTTATCAGGTTTTCACAGGTTCCTTCTGCTTCTGCTATTTATTTTGCATCTTTTCTTCCTTGATGTCCTTCAAACAACTTCACTTTTTAAGGGGACAAATATTCGAACAACCTTCACTTTTTACGCCCCCATCTCTAGATTATCGAAGGTATGGTTTACTGCTTCGAATATTGAATTTTGAATTTCTCGGGAATAGCTTGGCGTGCGCTTAGAAACTTAAAATACCCGATTTTACCCTCAAAACCCTTGTGATCAGGGAAAAAACGTGCCAGAAAGAGGAGAACAATATGTATTGAATGACACCTTAGTTGCTCTCTGTTTGATTTTCTGTGAGGTTGAGATGACCGAATATGGAATATGATGGCATCAAAAATTCATTAAAAGAACTTTGAAAATCCAGCCATGAATGCCAAAAAGGTCCTTGTCTTGCATTTTGTCTTCTATATCCTATAGTGATCAGAAATCTTTCACAAGTTTGAAATGAAATTCCCTAAAAATAGCCAAAACAAGAGTACGTAAAAATTTTGTTCTGGAGATCCTGGTGATGATTCGAGCGACCATCAAAGTTCTCGGAATAAAAACTTTACTGCTAGAAGGAGGAACACCATCGAACACTGCTTAGAAAGTTTGTCTATCTTTCTTTTTGACGATAGGATAGGTCTAGAAAACGGCACGAGCTTTTGAATCGAGCTAATATTTACTCACGTGAAATTCAAAGCTCACTCAACTTTTTGATGTAAGTCTGAGCTTCGTTCACTTTCAAATTCATTGATTCCCACAAATTTTTTCTACCAATCGCAAACATTCACGAAAGGGCACATCATTAGCTGACAAATGCACCTTGAAATGGAAACTTATAAATCCTAGCACTAGTGAGTGAGTTTTTGAATGTTTATATATTTCAATATTCACAAAACTATCTAATGTATACCTAACTTATATTTTGAAGAGCATTTCTATCTGTATCACTCTCCGTTCAGACACGTTTCATCCAGGTTTTCATATTATTTCTCGCAAAAATCAAAAAGTGTGCGTCAGAGTATATAAGAAATGCAAGGGCTTAAAGGATTAGGTGTGAATAGGGAATAAACCTTTACTCACGCAAAAAAGATATCCTGTAATGAGTTCAACTTCTACCGCGCTACATCCTAAGTAGGCTAGTTGTAGCTGCGCTGCTCATAATGGATTGGAAGGAAATGTTTTCGTTAGGATCATAGATTCCAGTGGCGCACCCAGAGGGGGGAGGGAGGAGAATGGGACCCGAAATTTTTCAAGAGTTACTTACATGGGGTGTTTAGCGACTTGTTTATACATGCAAATAATTCAAATAGTTTTTGAATATTTTTTAAACATTCAACTTAGTGTCGTAAAAAATACTTTCCCGCGGGTGTGTCATGGGCCCGAAATTTTGGGAAGTACCCCAAAAAGTTTTTGGAGCGCTCATTCAAAAAATCATCCCCCCCCCCCTTCCCCGCCTCCCCGAATCCTGAGTACGTCACTGTTACATACGTGCAGCATAATAACAGATAAAATTCGAAAAATAAATAAAATGAAATAAATACAGGGTGTCCCAAAAGTAAGTATACACTTTTCAATCGTCAATATCTCTCTTCTCCAATGGGTCTTTTTTGGCCAGTCAAGTGTCATTGTGTAGAGGAGGCTTTAACTTAGATTTATAGTATCGAGCAAATCAACGATCGCTCTTCGGTACTGTAGGATTATGGTAAGAACTTCCAGTATGTGGAACCGCTGTGAATATGTCATCTGACAAAATTTTTTTTCAAAAAATTCGAAAAATCGTATACTAGGGTTTTCGCTCACGCTGGTTCTACTACACAACTTTTTACGAGTTTTCAGCCTTTTTTTGACGATGTACCCTAATTTCACGCGTACAAAGCGCGGGGGATTTTTTTCCAAAATCGACCAGTCCAAATACGCTAAAGAACTTCGCAACCAAAGGACCCTATGCCTTGCTGTATATTGCTTAAGAGAATCGTACGGCATAAGGGTCGCTTTCCGAAATAATTTAAGGCGGCTGAAGGGCTTGGTCGAAACATCGAAAAAGGTGCGCCTGTACGCGTGAAATTAGGGTAATCACATTTCAGACTAATACTGAGAATTCGTTTATTACGGTTTACCTGGGTAACTTTGCAAAGAACCATCACAGTAAAGCTGGACTTTCATACTCGAAATCAGCGGCTTCCATTACCATAGAGTTTTCGGCTTGTTTGGTTTTTTCCGAGGCAGAATATGGCTTGCAATGGCTTAAAATCCTTGTCGAAGTTCTTACTGTAATCCTACAGTAATGGAAAGCGATCGGTATTTCACTCGATACTGTAGATCTAAGTTGAAGCCTCCTCTACAGAATGTTACTTGAATGGCGGAAAAAGACACAACGGGAAGAGAGACATTAACGATTGAAAACTGTATACTTACTTCTGGGACACCCTGTATAATAAAATAATTAATAAAATTAAAAGCCAAGGATAAGGGTAATTTAATTTACTCAAACAGCAGCATCTTTGATCAATCTAGTTTGAAAAAATACAGTGAGCGTTTCTTTTCAATATCTTGCAGCGTCGCCATTTACCGGAAACAATTTTCAATACAACAATGGCTATAGAGTACATAATTTTCTTTCTTAGAGAATTCATCCAAGTAAACCAAATTGTATCCAGATTGCTACGATTTTGCGAATAATGCGTGCGACAATGTGACAGTTTCACGCACAAACTATATCGTAACTTATATCCGCTATAAAGTGTTCATATGAGAGGACGAGTAATACCAGCTAGATTGTGTATATAGACCCTATAATCTCATTTTCCATGCAAAATTTGTGATTCTACAAATCATCTTTGAATTTTCCTTCATCTTAGCGCAGAGCTGCTCTCAGTACTCGTAAGTACCTTTAATGGAAGCGTGTAAAAAGCTTGTACTATGGCTCAAAGAAAGCATAATAAAACTAGTTCAGTTGAGCACTAGCGGTTGAGTGAAATATAATGTATGCGTAGCATGCCTGGCGAGTAGATAATCCTAACGGCTCGCAGAACTGCGAACGAACAATATAAGTTCCTAATTAAACAGCAAGACAGCAAATGAATTAGTGGAAAAAAGCGGGGAGATAAAATCAAATATGAAGGGCGATTTATTACTCAAAAGGCAAAAATGTCAAAAATAGGAGTTATCCAAATTCATGGTTATTGATTGCAAAATGATCAAGTCGAATCTTAAATAGCTTTGGACTCGAATTAGCTTATAGTTAATTAAAAGTAAAAGATATTTAGTTACACAAATATATTTCGGCTAAGACAATATAGAAAAAAAACCTTTTTTTGAATAATAATTTTCTCGATGATGTCGTCTCCGTCTCCAATCCATAACGAGAATTTGCTCGATTCTTAAACTCCTCCAGGAATAATCAAAATCGCTCAGATTTTCTGAAATATCGTTTACAAACCAGGCCCTCCAGCTTTGAGCAGCGTATTTGCCTACCGTTTTATTTTGCGCAAGAAATTCCAAGGGCTAGGAAGATTTGGGACAGTTCTCTTTGCAACTGGTCATGCTTCTGTTTCCTTTTTTCAGATTAAGGGCCCCTACATGCAATGCCCTAACAAGGAAAAGTTCCGTTTTGCTTTTTAGCAGAACCTGTTTCGCAAATCATTCATTCAGCTGTTCGGGAATAAAAACGCCCGATCGGGAACCATGTTCCTCTTTAGGGAAAAAACTGCGCTGTTGACATAAATGACTACGTCGCCGGCGGTGTGCCTAAGGGCGGGCACGCCCGCCCCCCGCCCCGTCGCAGCCCCGCACTCTGCTTTGCTCTTGGACCACTTCCGCGTGATCCCCTCAGTGCTCTGCTTGACTTCATCGTCAAAGACTTCTATCTATGGTTGCCCTTCGGTAAGTGCTGTTTTATTCCGATATCTTGGCGTGTTCGTCCAGAACCCGGCATTGATGCCCCATTTTGTCCCCCCGTCAAAACGTCAGCGATGCGTTGGCATCAAAAAGCGTTCATGCGAGTTAATGACGCGATCGAAAACAGCAGCGCTTGGCAGAATTCTGCCTTCCAAGCTAGATATTCAGAATGAAAAGCTCCAATCAGCTGCTGGGCATCACTTTCACATTCAAACTCAACCAGGATGAAAAAAACTTTGCGGCGTGCCATATTTCACTCAGGACAAAATGTGAATGTGCGTTTCCATGACTCCCTTCATAGAAAAAATATAGTTATAGGATCATAAATATCGTTGAGATGGGACGAGTTATTTTTCTGCAAATGAGATTATTATGCTTCATGAGACGTCAGTGTCCACTCAGACTGATGTTGTGCTGTCACGCTTAATCTTAGTCAGAATGGATCAGACGTAGACAACAAGTATATTTATGGGCTTAGGAGGATGATGGAGGGTTCTGACGTAGACTAGATTTTTTTTTGAAATTATCATGGCAACCGCATAATCATTTTCATGGTGACCTTCTTGGCAAAGCTCTCACATAAAATCATCTTACGCGCTTAAAAATCCACATAAATTTATTTCGTAAATTTTTCTATCAGTTTCTCTCGGTCTTTGCATGGATAGCAGGACGCGATTAGCCAAATTACTCGTTATTTTTGAGCTGCTACGAATTTAGGCATTCGAAGTATGCCAAATTAATAAAAATAGAAGTTTTGCCTCTCACTACTAGTGATCTTTCGTAGTGTGAATACGTTCTCGGATTAGTGGGGAGTATCAATTTACACGGCTGCCGTTGCATTCCAAATCAACTTGATGCGTTCTGGTTCGAAATTGCTTCCAAATAATTTAATATTTGTCCATCACTGAATTTCTCTCAACTTTTGGCAAAGAAGTTTATCCAGGGTTCCTCTATTTTAATTACACCTGAAATTTTGAAAATTTTGTACCTCCAAGCGCTCTTGATCTTTGTAAGTATGAGCAGTTTCTAAGCATATTCAGCAGATAGCCTCTAATATAGTGTTTTTGCGTTGTCGACAACATTTGCGCGTAAAATATGGCCATGTAACAGAGACCTTATTTTTACGCGCAAATGCTGCAGCTACTGCAGGTGCACTATACTGGTGCTCAAATAGTGTAGTTTTTTGTAAATATATGACTGATTGTTGATTATTGTATGCAAACTCTTTAAACTCCAATCGTTTTGATCTTTTCCTATTTTCCGGTCTTCACTTTGTCTGAGAATAAAGCGTCTTATTGAGCTTCCTTATCTTGGTAAATCTCAAACTCTTTTCGTTTTTCTCATGGACATTCACCTATAGCACCAAACTTTGGCGGAACAATTCCCCTCAAGCCGAACAGCGTAAAGCTCAGCTTCCATTTTCCTCTAAACTACTTTGATGGGCCAATTCAGGAAACGCCAACAAGGGAGTTGACTGGCACTTTTGTGGCAGGACAACAAACGTTTAGCAGACGGCTTAATGTGCCGTTTAGAGTGATTGGTTTCGAATTCGCCTATTAGCTGGGAAAATCTTTAGCCTTTTGTCCTATTTCTGGAGAGCGACATAGGGCCAGAAACGCAGCACCCGACATATCCACACATTAGGCCGTCAGCGTATCAAGTTGCTGGGGCCTTGTCACGCGAAAAAAGCGTTTCTCGCAATCTAGTCGCTGCACATAGTCCGAATTTTATTGCAAGAAATTATTTTTGGCGCACGGCCATGCGATGGAGTGCAGATGCACTATTTGTCTTTTGAGTATCTCGAACGTCTCTTTCGCTGAGGGAGAAAGGTTATGTCGCACGGAAGAAGCTCAGCATGGCTTTTTAAAGCATTCCATTGAATGAGACGAACTACATACGCTGCCAGGCTTCATACGAAAAATTACTCAGGAAATTAAATACAATGGCTTCCGCCTAGTGTCCTTTACAAAGAATCTGATACAGTCCTTGAAAATTACTGTGACCTTTAACTCTTAGAATTTGCATATTAATGTAACCCATTTCTAGAATTTTCCAAAAAATTCTCCAACTTGTTCGCATTAGTTTATCCGAAAGGGACTATTACTAATCAAAACTCGACCTTTTTTCCCGCTTACTGACCCCATCTACATCGAAGCTCTACGAAGCATATTCCCATATATCAATTCTCTAAAAGTAAGTCTGGAATATTCTATGGGAACTGATGTAGTCTACTCAAAAAAAACCCTGTTTTTGTGACTCACGTCATTTTTATATAGACCCTCATTTTCTTTCTATTAATTTCTTTGCTAAAGCGGCTGAATTCTCGTATTGTTATCCTCTAGATGAAAACTCCCTCTCAAAAACTCTTCTCATACTAATCAAAGCATTTCTACCAGCTAATTCAAAAACCTTCCAGCGCATATTGCCCCATCAATTTTGGAAAGCATATCTCTGTCTTATAGAAAGTTCTTTATTTCCAAAACTTTAAGTTTTTATCACAAATCAACTCTAACTCAAGATTTTAAAAATCGCAACAATTCTCTCGCTAATTCTCTGGGAGGCTATAGTAATCCATGGAAGCTAATTGGTCTAAAAGCGCCAAAAAAGTTTTTTGAGTCTTTGCCTATTTTTCTTTCTACGCCGGAATTCACCGGCTATTCTACAACTTCCACAAATTTCCATTATTTTTCAGAGTATGTCCCATAATCAATTCTTGATTTCCACTCTGCACGTGGCAGCAAAAGTTTTTAGCAAGCTAATCATGTAATAATGTGCTCAAATTACATGGTTGAATAGTGCTCGCTTCAGCAAAGTGCATGAAACTCTCATATTGCCCTCCTAACCGAGCTTTAATTCAAGTATGGCTGTAAATTGTGGAGAAACACAAGCTTATTATTTTGCATTTTGTCAATTCGTGACAATGAGAGGTTCCTTGTAATTTTTACTTTCGAGCGGTCATAACTAGCAATTAAACTTTTGCTTTTCTGCTGAAGTCTTATATTAGCTTCGTCTTGCGTCAATAAGACGTGAGGGTAGGACTTCCTACATATTATCAAGTACAAAATGCAAGGATGGGCGCTAATCCCATGTTTCTAGCGAAGAAAATTACATATTGCACTATCAAATTGATTTTACATTTTATCTAAGCTTGCACGAATTATTACCATGAAAGCATCACTTCAATCGAACATTTGCATGGCTGGATGTTGGTTGATGGATATTTTTTGATGGCGTAGCACTCCGATTTTGGCATGAAATTATATAGCCAGTCAAATTCTGGTCGTGTATTAAGAAGTTCAGGAAAAAAGAGGAAAGTTCCTTCGAATTGAAAAAAGAAGAGAAATGGAATTCTCTCAGCTAAAGGTAGAACTTTCTTTTATATTATATTAGGTCGTTACATAAGTTTCATTACATTCGACTGAAAAAATCCTCATAAAATGATTTTTTTCATAGTGATTTTCGTGTGGTGTTGCAGATTTTGATGTATATCAGGTTGTCCCATAAGTTCCGTCCGTTTAAACTTTCGATCGCTATAAGTCATGAACTTCTTGATTTTAGGCAGGTTGCAAGGTATCATTTGATAGAGCAAAGCAAGCTCTACAAGATGCGCCTCTCATTTTCGCATCAGTTCAAATCCATCTCGAGTTTGAAGCCAAAAACCAAAAAGATCCAAAGATCCAACCAAAAAGAAAAAATCGTAACTCCGTTTAGAAAAATCCTAGAAAATTCCTAACTTGCTCACAGATAGCCTATCCACATCAGACATTTACATATACTGTTGCTGTATTTTTTCCTTTGAAAGAAATCGAGAAAACGAAAATTTTCATGTTTTTGCCAAAGTGATGCTGTGCCGTTCTCACACTAGTAGTTGTATACTACAGACCAGTACAAGTACAGACAAAAACTTTCAGCGCTCTACAGGCTTTAGTTCTCGAGAAACATTGAGTTTAGCTTCGTACAGTCGGGTGTCCCGTCTTAAAACGATTATTTCTCGAGAACTAAAGCATATAGAGCGCTGAAAATTTGTGTCTGTACTTGTACTGGTCTGTAGTATACAATACTAGTGTGAGAACAGCACAGCATCACTTTGGCAAAAACATGAAAATTTTCGTTTTCTCGATTTCTTTCAAAGGAAAAAATACAGCAACAGTATATGTAAATGTCTGATGTGGATAGGCTATCTGTGAGCAAGTTAGGAATTTTCTAGGATTTTTCTAAACGGAGTTACGATTTTTTCTTTATTTTTCGGGCGGTTGGATCTTTTTGGTTTTTGGCTTCAAACTCGAGATGGATTTGAACTGATGCGAAAATGAGAAGCGCATCTTGTAGAGCTTGCTTTGCTCTATCAAATGATACCTTGCAACCTGTCTAAAACCAAGAAGTTCATGACTTATAGCGATCGAAAGTTTAAACGGACGGAACTTACGGGACAACCTGATACGTGTCACACATAAAAAGTTTAATTTCAAGTTTTTCGAAACTTTTTCGAATTATTTTTGTCAAATTTCCAATTCTGAACAGTGAAGATTTTGAACTTGCAAACTGCTTTAGTATTACTACCAATTCTCCCAGAAGTCCATAAAAAATCTAAAAGCGTTAAAAAGAAATATAAGAGGATTTTTGAAAAATGAAGAAAAATAAAGGTTGGAGTGTCCTTATAGAAATGCCTTTATATTGACTGCAAGTGATGTCATGGGGCATAAATGGTGCCAGCGGATAGCCCTTTACCTTTCCCCATGTATGCCAATCATGAGGCCTTGCTGAATTCTAAGAGTTTCCATAGGAAGACGAAGAAAGTGTAAAGTAACTTATGTAACAACCTAATATATAGGAGCCCACGTTATGCTGTCCAGCCTGCTGTGGCGTTTCGTCAGAGTCATGTGCACAAACTTCCATGCTAATATTAGAATATTCTATGAAGCCACGTAACAAATAGGGTAGGTGTACTAGACCCAGCTTGCTTTCGAGCATTCCATCAATAGTGT